TCTTCAACGTATTCAATTTCTTTATATTAATTTTTTATTAATAAATCAACCGTTCATGTTAATCCTGACACTTGAAATTTGATCCTACATACAGCCGAAAACTTCGTCGACGACGAGACGGGAACTTAGGGCATCAAGGAACCTTTTAAATGGTCGGACTGTTTGTTGCTCACTTCACACAGATTGTCAGGATATCAGCACCATCGGAGACCAAAAAAATAACGATTTCGTATACCCTGGAATTCTAATTTAAATTCTCAATGAAAGAGATTCGCGTTTAATTCAGAGAAATAGACCGCTACTACTTGGCTAAAGGCTGTCATAGCACAAAATATCAAAGTAAAAATGAAAAGAAAGACGCAGACATACCATTTCAAGGTATCAGATTAAGTGATACCTTATTTATAAACAACTAACTTTCACCCTCCGTGCAATGCGAAGCTTTAAAGTGAATTTTCAAATATATCGAGATTTACCCACTGAACACCAAACCTAACAATTACGTAACTTAAAACTAACAAATAACATAACGTTTGTTACAATGTAATAATCTAACGGTTACGTATAGAGCTAACTAGTTACATGACATTTGTTACAATGCAGTAACTTAACAGTTATGTAACATGGAGCTAACAGATTACATAACATTTGTTAGTATCATATCTATATAAATGTAGTGTAAGTTTGTTACTCTCATCTTACATTGTTACTGTCCTGATATTACTGTGTATATGCAGCATATATTTGTAACAAAACAGAACTGCATTGCTGCTGTCATCTATTTTATTGCATCATCGTCGTCGTTATTGTCATAATTCATCGTTAAATGTCATAAGATTAATGTATATCATATTTTGTTTACTACCCATATGAAAAATGATTTTACTTCGTACGCGCATATACATTATTAGTAATTGTTTGCTAGTCGAATGAAATCATAATAGTCTTTAAGTAAAATCAGATAGTTTATCATTTACATAATTTCATTGAAAGTCTGACTTGTCATTTAATATTAAACTATTATCAAGTACCAAAAAATAATTAAAAATAAAAAGTTATATAATTATTGATAAAATTGCGTTATTTTTTTTAATTAAATGTATGAAAAATTAATATTATTTTAAGGTAACTGAAATTATAACATTAATATAACATATTACATAACATGTTACCTTACCTAGTGGGAAATAATAACTAACATCTAACTTCCATGTTACTTTTATGCTACATAACATGTTAGTTTCGAAAACGTAACATTTAGCCAACAGTTATACAATAATGTTCACTGGGTAGGTTCAGGTGGAATAGAATTTAGAAGTAAGATTTCACAGTTACTCAATAAAATTATTTTCGATATAAATTTCGTGACATCTTCCCACTCTGAACTCGAGTGCAAATGCCTAAAGGTAAAGTTATTCCAAATGTAGCTTATCTTTCGGTATCTCTTTGACTTAAGAGGCATGGCCACGGTAGCGAGTATAAAATCATTTGCATATTCAACAATTTTTTTGTTGTATAAAAAGTAATTTATTTACAGAACTAATTACAGGTACATTTAGTGTGTGTATCAAAGTAACAAAAATAGTTTTCTTCAATCATTTTCTTATGCGAAATGGACGACAACTCCTATTTGCTTTTTTCATCTTTTTTCCGAGGCGTTCCACGGAGTGACATTTAGCGTCCACAATTTTTGACCTAGAAGAAAACGAAAAAATTGTCGTTAATCTACATAAAAATACCAAGAGAAGTACATATGGAATTTTTTAAATATTAATTTTTTCGAAAATGGCAGGTATTTGAAGTTAACGGGTGAATTTCCAGTGAAAAATTTCGTATAAAACTGCTCATAAAATGGAAAGTTTTTAATTAATCAAAAATTCCGTATGTACTTCTCTGCGAAATACAATTACAAAGATGATATAAAAATTTGAAGTCAATCGGAAGAACTTTGTCGAAGTTATTTATCACGCGAATTAGAAAAAAGCTGTTTTGAGAAAAATGCGTTTAAAGTTTGACGTATAACTTTTTTGTTGTTAAACTTGAAGAATCGAATAAAAAAAAATGTTTACCCTTAGTCTGCGATGCCAGCTCCATAAAGTCGGCCTTCTAAGACAAGATTTTCATCCTCTTCAGCTTTACTACGCACAGTTACGCACAGTACGCAGTTTTCATTGCTACAGCAATTGCTTCGACAAATTTGTCATAAAAGGAATGGTATATCGGCCGTGACAATTTCATGAAGGCACTAAACTTTTTTATACCGTTCAAACCTACACCTAATAATCGCATCGCTAAGGTGATTCTGCAATTAATTTCATACCCATTTCTCACATAAGGACAATTAGGTATTTCAGTTTTTTCACACTGGTTACAAGAAATTACGATCTTGAAATCCAAACTGCGCATGGCCGATTCAGTGATTTTTACATCTTGACCGCAGGTTTTGCAAACAACTACTTGAGCAATTGCGTTCATAACAGTTACGAAATTTATAAATCTGTTACCGAATTTGGCGTTAGTGTCATTATCACGCGAACTCGTTGACAGTCGTAGTTTCTTGGCCGACGCGCTCACGCCTTCTGCATCTGCCTGTGCTAAGAATCGATTTACCAGTCTACGCTTCGAAATACTGATCTTATGCGAAGACCAAGTATTTGATATTGACCCCTTCTTTGATAGATAAACCTTTTTTTGGCCACTCATTTCGGCTGCTCACAAAAAATGCTTCAACTTGCATAATACAAAATCACGCACAAAAAGCAGAAGAGCAACTGAATGGCGTTCTTTCAGCGGTCATACTGGCATTAGATGATCCTGTATAGGTATGTTTTCGTATAGGTAGACAACCAGTGCTCTCTAATGGTATAGCTCCAAAAATCCGAGGTCGTCACGCGGCGCGCTCGGGTACTCCACGGCCACGCTACAAGTAGGCTTATGTTACACGCTCGAAGTCGGTAAAGAAAATTTTTTTCACTGTAAGTCGAATGCTAACTTATTCTTATGATATTAAAGCATCGTTTAAGCAAAAAAAAATCGTTTTTTTGAAAATTCTATCGTGGCCATATCCCTTAAAGAATCGGCCCCACGCATTACGTTATCTCGTTCGAAATAATTATATTTGAATTTCCCTCCTTTCTAGTCTACTACACGGGCCTGCATCACGGTTTATGTTGGCCTCGCTTTTCCAGCTATCAATACATGGAGACTAGAGACCAGAGGACGAACTGCATATAGAGTTCGAAAATTCTCGGTAACATTAAATTGGAGAAGGTAACTGTAAAACATACCGTAAGTTACCGGGAATATTGAGAATTTAAGAGAACGTTAATTTTGTTATTTATACTTTAGGTTTCTTCGTTTAAATAACTTTTTTTTGTTTCAATCAACTTCAAAGTTCAAGCTATAGAGTAATAATTACTATTAGAAAATATTGATTATAGGGTCGTATTTACCTCCAGCTAAAAATATTCACGTATCTACAACTTCACGGAAAATTCCATGCGATTTGTTTCAAATGAACTGATATTTCATTCTGCGACGAAACGAATGGAAGGTTTTGATTGGCTACGGAAAACGTACAACGAAAATTCCCCTCTACGATGTTTCTCTATAGTTAATCGAAACCTCTCGTTCGCTCTGTTGAAAAATTCAAATTCTCATAATTTCTCGATAAAAAAGGCTTTGGAGAAATTACCGATAAATTACCGGGAATTTCTGTTCGTTTCTGACGTAACTTACTGGATTTAGAACTCTAACTGCATAGAGTCCCTTATGGGAGCTCATGCCCGCGTAAAAGGATGCGGAACATTGTTTGCCATTTTTCCTGTAGGTGGCAGCGCTATCACTGAGGGGCCAACGTGGAGTATGCAATCTCGTGAATTGCAGACAACACGAAGATCTGTCAAATTGAAAACTTGGAAAACTTCACGTTCTACTATTTGAGCCAAAACTTTTTTCAATTACAGTACTTACATATGTCACAAATAAATGCTCATAAAGATATTTCAGAGATAAAACATACATTGAATATTTTATCTTAGTTTGTCTGGACAATATAACCGTATTGCAATTGTCTTTAAATCCATGCACGCGCTTTATTCAAACAGTGGTCCCTAAGCGAATGTGGCGCCACTTACCAAAGAAAGATCTGTATCCGATTTTGAGGAAACTTCTATAACCTCGTGTTCGTCCTCCTGGTCTCTAATCTCTATGTGTTAATGCATGATAAAATACAAGCGACTGTCAGCCCATACCTATATAGCCAAAGGTGGTGACAAACATCGGTAGTCATAAAACCGACGTAAAGTAGCTTAAGTAAATGCAAAGAATTTAGAAGTCTCCATAGAAGTAGAGTTCTAAATCCAGTAAGTTACGTCAGAAACGAACAGAAATTCCCGGTAATTTATCGGTAATTTCTCCAAAGCCTTTTTTATCGAGAAATTATAAGAATTTGAATTTTCAACAGATCGAACGAGAGGTTTCGATTAGCTATAGAGAAACATCGTAGAGGGGAATTTCCGTTGTACGTTCTCCGTAGCCAATCAAAACCTCCCATTTGCTTCGTCGCAGAATGAAATAGTTAATTTGAAACAAATCGCATGGAATTTTCCGTGAAGTTGTAGATACGTGAATATTTTTAGCTGAAGGTAAATACGATCCTATAATCAATATTTTCTAATAGTAATTATTACTCTATAGCTTGAACTTTGAAGTTGATTGAAAAAAAAAAAGTTATTTAAACGAAGAAACCTAAAGTATAAATAACAAAATTAACGTTCTCTTAAATTCTCAATGTTCCCGGTAACTTACGGTATGTTTCACAGATACCTTCTCCAATTTAATGTCACCGAGAATTTTCGAACTCTACATAGAAGCCCAAGATTCGGACGTTGATGCTGAATAAATAATATGTTAGCCAACGGATGGCGACACTGTAATCAGCTTTCCATCTCTCTTAAACTCGTATATATCGAATTGCATTCTTTCATCTTACACACAGTACTCGCCTCTCCATATGCGTATCTCTTCCTCCCGTATGTGAGATATTGTTGACCAACACATGCGATCTCTCTTTTACCCCCACTCCTGGTTTATTAGCCACATTTAAAGCATCAAGCGATGACATAGGATCTGGGCTTCTATGGGACTTCTGTTCTGAATTCTTTGGAAAATGTACTGAGTGAAAACGGACAACAGGAGGAAGGTTGTCACGTTCCTCTATCTGACGTGCGACCGTTAGCGCCGGAGATTACGAATGTCATTAGCGAGTGGGACCTTTATCATCCCCGCCGGCTATCCCGAGCTCAGACTCGGTCGCAGCGGCTGTCAGTCGCTCTCAGTTATTCTGCGTTACTGCGCATTGCTGTCCGTTGTTGTGCGTTGCTGTGCGTTGCTGTGCGTTGCTGTGCGTTGCTGTCTGTCAAAACGAACTACTTCTGACGTACGTACGTATGGATGGAATTGCTTTCCAGCCTATTTCCAACGCACGTAGCGTGTTCCGATTTCTTCCTGTTACTCTCAAGGACAAGGTTATTACCGACCTGAGAATCTGTCCTGTAATTAATTCCGCAGTTGGTAAAATGTTCTCACCATTTCAACATAGATCAATGCAGCTTCTAATAGCTTGATACGAATTTTTTTCCATGTCGAGTAGAAAAGGCTGTGGTTCCAATGTAGATTACGTTTAGCTATAATTCAAATTGTAATTTAATTGATCCAGTTAGGCTGAATTATGGGTATAATTTCTGTGCAATGTGAAATTGTGATCTGATTGTACTTGCGTTATCAAGAATGATGGAGATGTGGAGTTTAAAAAGATTTTAATTTAGATATGTTGGCGGTTTACAGGAAAATTTGGTTATATTACTCTGGTGCTTTGTTTGAAGTTATTGGCATAGCGATGAAGTTGAAATCTGAGTGTCTTTAGTTACTTGTGATTCATTTTAACTGTTTTATTTTTGTCCTTCAAGGTTGCAGAATAATTTAATCACTTTGTAATGTAACCTTGTACATGCAGTTAGTATTCATGGAAATCAATTCATAAAAAGAATATGTTGATAACGGTAGTTAATGAAATGTCTTCTTTATAAGTGATTACTGTATTTTTAAACTAATCTTACCAATTAACACATAGCAAACAGATCACAAGAATTCTCGTGTTTTTCTATTGGAAAGAAAAGGCTCTTGGTGAATTTTTTAATATTGCTTATTTCTATTAAATTATACTTATTCATGCAAATTGTAGAATTTTTATCTTATTACTACTGCTGCCAATATCTGATTAACATTTTTATCATCAATTACTATTATTCTAAAGTCTAGGCGTTTATTACATATTTTTGACGAGAGTGCTCACTTCTCGCACTTTTATCTCACACAAGTTTATGCACTCGATTATTTATCCCCTGAGTGAAAGTGTGAAATCTCTATGCACAAAGTATACGGGAAAGGTTTTGAGCATGAATGATAATATAAGTGATTAGCTGTAACATTCGAATACGGTTTGTAATACCTCATGCCATAAATGAAGAATTGTGTTAAATTGCAAGTTCCATAAATGATATAATAAAATAAAAATGATTGGCAAAAAATAACACCGTTAACATGCTATGATATTCTAAAATATAAAATAATTGTAATGTTAATAACAAACATGTCTATTAATCCTTCGCACTCGGTTGTCTCCTCTGAAGGGATATTGTAAGTGTAGATGGGATGGCGCCAAGTGCAAAGGGTTATCATTACTGTTGTGGAACTGATTTTTTAAAATACTCGACAGATCAGAAATATCCCGAAGTGCTCCCATTGCGATTCACATTTTTCCGTCCTTATTGCATTCGCTATTAAATATTAATATGGCTGCATAGGCTGAGTTAACCTCTAACAATTTGAATCTCAATGGATATATAGACACGCTCTTGTCGCTGGGCCTCTCTCGCCCTCCATCTATTGTACCTCTCTCTCTGATATCTTGTCACTCGGCACTGAATTTTTTGTTGAGTAGCGTCATGCAAAACATCTGTCATTTTCACTACGATAAAAGTTACGCAATACCACGAGCTGCTCATTTTGCACATTTTCATTCAATCTGCTTTATGTAATAGTTCCCCTAAACTGTGCTGTTGCTTTGAAGCAAGATAGCCCATAATCTTATTTCATATATATTTATATGTGTGTGAATATATAATTATATAAATATAATTATCCCTGAATTATGATATACTCTCTTCATAGGTTACATGCTTTCACAGTTCCTACCGTTTTCAAGTTTTTCATTATTTGTGAAAGAAGATCTTCAGAGTTTAACTATAAATGAGGAAAACCTAAGTTAACTTATTAGTTAATTTATAATAAACATGTTAAATCTATGTTCTTATTTAAAATATTTTAAGTTATTTAAACTAAGAAAATATCCTGTCCTTAGCAAACCGAAATTTTAACTCATTCATAAAATAATATCTTGAATCAACGGTAAGGGGAATTCAATTATTACATAGTTACAGAATAAAATTAATAGAATAGGCCTAAAGATGTATCTTATGAGGATATTATGAATAATGAATGCACATCGAATTCATTTTCTACAATTCTGTTTTCTTTAGTAATGTTATTAAAGGCAGTTTATTCGGGACTAACTTTTCACATGGATATGAAACTGTATATTATTTGTCTTACTTAAATCATGTAAATTAATGATACATGTTCTTTTTTCAGCTATGCTAGGCCATTTAGACGAAATGGGCATGCAAATATCATATTAAATTTGTGACGTTATATTGTGTATTTTTACATTTGTATTATATTTTATATTTTTGTTCCAGTACAAATTAATGGTAAAGTGGAAATGTCCAGTTACGCAGATGTAAGTTGATTACTGCATCTATGGAATTAACATTTTTGTTGAATGTGGAATGTATTATTACCAAAGACTTTGTAGTTTCAGTATATTTACATGCACTTTGTACGACCACGTCATCTCTACTGCTTATCTTCCATAATAGCCTAACTCTGAATTTTTATCTTCTTTAAACTCAGTGAATAGTACTAGTCATTTTCCATTTGGCAATGTTTTCTTTGCTATATGAATGTTACCGAGGAAAATAATAGTGAATAGCGATAGCATAAAGACAATACATTTAAGTATAGTTGTGAAAATATTGTTACAATTTGGTAATATTTAGTGTATCTTTCATTTATTGTGTAAAATATCTTTGTAACAAGTATGGATGTAGGATTTACTGCATTTTAAAAATGTTCTAGATTGTACAAAGAGCACGTGACGCATTTTACAGTGGCAAAACGCGACCGTTAGAATGGAGAATTGCACAATTGAAACAATTTCAACGAATGATAGAGGAGAATACAGCCGAGATCCATGCCGCACTTGCAGCGGACTTGCGCAGGGTACATCAAATGATTGTCCAATGTTATAGTTCTAGTTGCATTTTTCTTTCAATTATTATTTCCATTCGTTACATATTTGATGCTATTCTTTTACAGTCCAAGTTTGAAAGCACAGTCCTAGAAACATCGTACACTATAAATGATATTAAACATATGCTTATGAATATAAGGGAATGGGCTGCACCTGAAAAGGTATGCAATTTAAACTGTATTATAAATTGTAAAAAGTAGTTTCAAGTTAAAAGATATATTTATGTTTAAATAATTCTTTCTTTTAGCCAGCTAAAGCTATTGTTAATATATTGGATTCCGTTGAAGTATATAAAGATCCTTATGGTGTGGTCCTTGTAATTGGCGCTTGGAATTACCCGTTGCAATTGACTTTAGTTCCCATGATGGGTGCCGTAGCTGCTGGCAACTGTGTCATTGTGAAACCATCAGAAGTATCTCAAGCTACTTCGAAACTCCTGGCTGAAATTATTCCTAAGTATCTGGACACTGTAAGTAAACATTGATAAATGAGTATTCAAATGTCAAGTGCACTATCTAATCTCGAGATAGAATGTGATCTCTATATCCTCTGGGATCCAGAATTTAGAAACATATATTACAGTTAAGTGGCCTGTCTACCCCCGCCTGCGAACTATTCGTTCAGAGATTTACGAAAACTCTCAGCTCTATAATTTTGGACTGATAAAGAACTTTGGACCTTTTTAAGGGGATGTGACAGTGGCATCCGAAAGCTCAATCGTTCATGAAACTTTTCTCCGAACTGAATGTACCGAATCGTTTCAAACTTTACAACGTGAATATGGAGGCTACAAAGAAGGTCCTAACACCCATGAAACTTGATTTTTGATAACATTTTTTTTACATAATTATAAACAAATTTTGTAATAATTAAAATTCCATGTGTGTCAGGACTTTTCTTATAGCCTCTATACTCACGTTGCAAACTGAAACGATTCAATACACCTAGTTCACAGAAAAGTTTCATAAACATGACCTCCTTGATGCCATTCTCACATCACCTTAATAGGTCTTTTTAAAGGTGATATAAAAACCGTATCTGTACCAATCTTTCTTAAAAATTCTCTGAATTGAATATACCAAAATGTTACCACGTTAACATGATGGCCTTAAGGAATGCCCTGACGCTCATGAAATTACACTTTCATAAAAAAAATAAAAAAATGTTTGTAAATAAATTTAAAACAAAGAAATTTCATGGGTGTCAGGATCTTAGGACCTCTATAATCACATGGTACATTTGTAAAGGATTTGATCCTAGTCCAGAAAAAAGTTTCATAAATGAGACTGATACCGCATTAATTTCATTTTAAGAGGGGATTTTCGTGTAACAGGCTAAGAAATTAAAAATTTTCATGAATTTTTTACAGAGAAACTACTTGTCGATATTCGAATCAGTTATTTTTTTTTAATATGAACAGGCATCCTCAAAGTTCAAAAAGATATATTTTTCTTTTAATCTTCTTCATGTATCTCCACAAAGGATATAATTATCTCAACCACTTCCGACAGGACGGCGGCTGTCGGCGAGCAGTGTAGCATATGTCACATTCATCTTAATGTCATAAGTAAAATATTTTCTTAAAGCTAGGTAGTTTACGCTGGGTTTGAACTTGTTTCAACTAGAATATTTGTAAAACTAACAAATTTCTACTGTTTGAAATAAAAATGAACCCCAACAACAATATCGGCTTTAAATTGTCGATAAAAATGTTATAAATAAATAATACTGTTCGTATTAGAAGTTCATCCCGAGGAAAAACGTATAAGTTGAATGGGCTTTGTGCAAAATTGATCAATTAATTAGTTTTTCAGTTATCCCGCTCGCCAGTTTGAAAAATGTAGTTTCGAGAAAAACACGTTTAATAGTGGCTTTAGTGTCAGCTCAATCTTATATCTCTAATATTATATTTTTTAATAAAAAAATGCAGTAAATATTAAGTTTAGGGGACCCTGCTCCAATGACCTTGACTTTGACACAATGTCAAGATGACCCTCCTGAGTGACCTCCACGAGGTTTTATCGGACGCTCGTTATTTGTTTGTTTGTTTCTCATTGTTGAATATACATTTAAAGACTCCTGTATCACTTTAATTGGTAGCCGGCCTCCTGGCGGCCGGATTCTAATTATTAGCTTACCCTAAACCCACATTAACACAAATTAATCATTCCAAGCATTATAAATGCGATATATAAAGTTAAACATACGTTAATATTGTGAAATAACTAGACAACGTAGTGTAGAAAAAGGGGTCTTTATTTGGGATATGTCATGGCACCGAAACCGTAGGCATGACATATCCCAAATAAAGAACCCTTTTTCCACACTACGTTGTCTAGTTATTTCACAATATTAACGTATGTTTAACTTTATATATCGGCCAAAGAATTCAGAAGTCCCATAGAAGCCCAGACCCTATGTTAGCGCTTGATACTCTAAAAGTTGGCTAACAAACCAGAAGTGGGAGTAAAAGAGAGGTCGCACGTGTTAGCCAATGATATTTCACGTACGCGAGGAAGAGAGACGCATATAGAAAGGCGAGTATTGGGTGTAAGATAAAGAAAGAATGCAATCGTTATATATCGCCATAAGATTAAAAGAGATGGAGAGATGCTTACAGCGCCGCCATCCGTTGACTAACATACTATTTATCGAGCATCGAACGTCCGTATCCTTCTGGGCTTCTATGGAGACTTCTGAATTCTTTACCGTTGCCAAGAGACGTATAAACCCACTGAACACCAAACCTAACAGTTACGTAACTTAAAACTAACAAGTAACATAACGTTTGTTACAATGTAATAACCTAACAGTTACGTAACATAGAGCTAACTAGTTACATGACATTTGTTACAATGCAGTAACTTAACGGTTATGTAACATTTTTTACTGTCATATCTATATAAATGTAGCATAACTTTGTTACTGTCATCTTACATTATGTTACTGTCCTGATATTACTGTGTATATGCAGCACATATTTGTAACAAAACAGAATTACATTGGTGCTGTCATTTATTTTATTACATCATCGTCATCGTCATTGTCTTAATTCATCGTCAAATGTCATAAGATTTATATGTCATATTTTGTTTACTACTCGTATGAAAAAATGTGACTTTAATTCATACGCGCATATACATTATCAGTCGTTATTTGCTAGTCGAATGAAATTCTAATTGTCTTTAAGTAAAATCAGATAGTTTATCATTACATAATTTCATTGAAAGTCTGATTTGTCATTTAATATCTAACTATTGTCAAGTACCAAGAAATAATTAAAAATAAAAAATTNTAACATGTTATAAGTTCAGTTACCTTAAAATAATATTAATTTTTCAAACATTTCATACAAAAAAAAATAATGCAATGTTTTATTTTGTATTATTTCGTGGCACTTGGCAATAGTTAAGTATTATATAATAAATCAGACTGTAAATGAAATTATGTGAATGATAAACTATCTGATTTTACTTAAAGACAATTAGGATTTCATTCGACTAGCAAATAATGACTGATAATGTATATGCGCGTATGAATTAAAGTCACATTTTTTCATACGAGTAGTAAACAAAATATGACATAATAATCTTATGACATTTGACGATGAATTATGACAATGACGATGACGATGATGTAATAAAATAGATGACAGCACCAATGTAGTTCTGTTTTGTTACAAATATGTGCTGCATGTACGCAGTAATATCAGGACAGTAACATAATGTAAGATAAGAGTAACTTACGCTACATTTATATAGATATGATAGTAATAAATGTTATGTAACCTGTTAACTCCATGTTACATAACTGGGAAGTTACTGCACTGTAACAAATGTCATGTAACTAGTTAGCTCTATGTTACGTAAGTGTTAAATTACTATATTGCAACAAACGTTGTGTTATTTGTTAGTTAGTTAAGTTACGTAACTGTTAGGTTTGGTGTTCAGTGGGCAATTATCTAATTATGTTCCAATGGATATATCGAACTCATAATTTTGAAGAAACTATTAATACGTTCACCGAAATGGTATCTTCTCTTAAATAAGTATATAGCGAGATAGCGACTATGAGTGATAATAGAATCTCGACAGAACAGTCATAACTGAATAGTAAGTAGGAATATTTGTATACAACGCATGTATACTACGTTCTGAGTCTTAAAATGTACGCCCAGTGTCGAAAACGTAAGTCTGAAGCATCAAGATTATTTTGTTAATAATTTCTTAACAAGCAACGAGCGATTATTTCTTAACAAGCAACGAGCGATCCGTTGCTCAGGAGGGTAGACTTGATAATATGTGTCAAGGTCAAGGTTAAATGTACATCCAGTGTCGCAAACGTATGTTTAACTCATTAAAAATGTTTTGTTAATAACTTTTTAACAAACAACGTGCGACGGCTAAAACCTTGTGGAGATTACTCAGGACCTGGACAACATATGTCAAGGTCAAGGTCATCGAAACAGTTCTCTAAACGTAATATTGATCAAAAATTGTGTCAGTAGGTAACTAAACGCGATTTCACTAGCACCCATTTTACAACTGAGGATTTTTTATGTATGTTGGTCGGATAGCTTTATAGTTATTTCGGATATTTTGACATTTGTGGAGACAACGGTTACGTCCGTCGTAAATAATAATCTGATGCATCGCATTAAATTGGCTGTAATTTAATCGTTTGAGTGCCAAGGAGCGATTTTGCGCTTCTTCTGTGTCGCTCGAACGCTTTAGGCTGCGAAGCCGATAACCGCGACACGCTCGATTTCCGTCGATACGCGACTTTACGGTTACCATTCCATTTTAGGTAAAAGTAAAAGAATGAGACAGCTGGTAAAAGAACGAATTTTATTTTCAGTCGAACATTACCGCTTACCGTATAGAGCAGAAATCAGCGCAATAGCGCTCCTTGGCATTTTTAATCGGAGAATAAGATAAGTACTATCGCGCCGCTTGGCACTTTTGGAGGGGAATAAAACAAGCGAAAAAACGCTCCTTGGCACTTTTGGACGGGAAAACAGCAAAGACACGTGGCACTCAAACGGTTAACTTACATTGATATTTCAACTTGAAAATGTTGTGTGTACACTTCAGATATGTACCTTCGTTATATAAAGAAACAGAAAATCGATTTATTTTAATTTTACATGAAAATTCCCTCTTAAAAAAGACAAAATTGCTGAAGGCTGTATATTAAAAAAAAAAATCTCAAGTTCAGTCCCAATGAACACTATTATATAACTGTTGGGTAAATGTTACGTTTTTGAAACTAACACGTTATGTACCATAAAAGTAACATGGAAGTTAGATGTTATCTTTCTTATTAAATGCATGAAAAATTAATATTATTTTAAGGTAACTGAAATTATAACATTAATGTAACATTGATATAACATGTTACGTTACCGAGTGGAAAATAATAACTAACATCCAACTTCCATGTTACTTTTATGCTACATAACATGTTAGT